CTGTATTCCCAAAAACTCTGGTAGCTGTTTGAATAAGCCTATCTACAAATTCAGCATAAGGTTCATTAGCTCCTTGTATTACCTTAGATAATTGACCTTGTAAACCTCCATGTCCTTGTAAAGTCTTCCATGCCTTAATTGCATCTGCAGCAATTTGTGCGTATACGCCAGGATCATATGCAATTTGTTGCTGCTGATCCTCATAAGGTCCCTTTCCTAACAACATATCTAGATTTCTCTGAGGATAACCAGCTGCTGCATTTCGCCTAGCCGTCTCCTTGCAAAATTCCTCATTGGCAACCTTCCATAACAGGTATTGTCCTCCATTTAGCACAGCTTTACACATATTAGCCCAATCTGCTGGCGTCATGTTCAAGTTGTTAATGGATTCGACCAAGCTTACAGTGAAGGGTGCTTGAGGACCATAGGTTGTTACAGCCTCTTTTAGCTGCTTCACTGTTTTGAAATTTAAAACTTGGTAAAATCGCTGCCCTCCTGCCTCAAATACAGGGCATGTTAATATTTGAGATCTTGTCTCAGGATCCCAACTATCAACTGTGGGGGTTGGGGGCCTCCCAGCATATGGAGGTGGCGCTGTTGGTTGGACACTTTCGCCCTCTGGTGATAGAAAGGTGTTAGTAGCAGTCTCCTGTTGTACCTTTCCCCCTGATGGCTTTTTCTGTTTTACACTTTCTTTCTCTGTCTGACTAACTTGAGAGACCTTCTCTTTTACTTGAATCATTATGTCTTCTCCTTCCTCTACCATTGTCTGAACTGAAGGCTTTGGACTAAGCAAACAAGATATGAACGTCCACAATGGCAATGTGCCAACTGGCAGAGTCCCTGGGCTTTTCTTTTCTATTCTTTTTAAATCTTCACCATGATGGTTCCATTGTGATATATTTAACAACTCCTCCTTAAAAAGCCATGGGCTACATTTTTGTATTGTATCAACGTATACCCTGACTGCTCTTGATTTTACTGGGATGCCTCCTTCCTCTAACAATTTACTTAACACTCTTTCAGTTTGTTTTTTACTAATTTCTGATCCCGTATTTCTACTATAATACAACCCAACAAGATGACGCCAAACAAAACCGAGACAGAATGAAATAAAAAGGGAACAACAAAAAGTCATTATAGCCTTTCTATCCTCCTGACATGGGCATCCGTCCTTTCTCCCTATCTGTTCCTCAGATGTAAATAGTTTTTCCTCAGATGTGAGCGGTTTTTCTTCCGTCTCACTCATCTCCAGGGACAGGCAACTTAAAACAAAAGTGAAACAAAATAACAAAAGAAGAATCTTAAAATGGCTACCCATCCTCTCGCCCTGCCCTCAGGGGCGAGCAGTTTCACTTACCCTCAGTCGCTCCCCGTGCGAGCCACCAAATGCCGCAGTCTGGCTGGGCACAATCAGGAGCCACTTGTCAAAAGAAACTAACTTTATTTTTAGAACCACTCACGACAAACAAAATAGTCTCTCAGGAAAAACCCTCAGAGCCTCAACTGCCACCACCGGCTTTCCACAAGCCTCTCTCTCCCACACAAGCTTCTCACCACCTCCCACAATCCTCCTGCTCTTGAGGCCGATTGGCTGGGTCACGTGGGCGGAGCCAAAAAAGTCCCCCAATGAGCAGCTCCGTGGTCTGAAAGGGCAGGGAAACAGTCCAATGAGCATCACCGCAGAGGAGCCAATCAGCTAGATGTTGCTGGGGCCGAGGAGCCAATCAGCTAGATGTTGCTGGGGCCGAGGAGCCAATCAGCTAGATGTTGCTGGGGCCGAGGAGCCAATCAGCTAGATGTTGCTGGGGCCGCTGTGAGCCAATCATCAGCCGGCAGCTGGAAGTTTGCTGGCAGCTGGAAGTTTGCTGGGGCCCCTCAGGCTGTGGATCTCAACAGCTCTAACCCTAACCCTTACCTAAACCAAGCTGTAACCCTACATCTAGGCCTAACCTCAGCCCTAATTCGAGTTTTAAGACAAACCCTAAAACTAACTTTGACCCTTACTCTGACCTAACACTAACCCTAGGTCTAAACATTACCCTAACCCTAAACCTAAACCTAACACTAAACCTAGCCCTAAAACAATAAAATTAGCCATAATCATAACCCTAGTACTTACATTAGCCCTAACCCTAACCCTAGCACTAACTTAATCCAAAACCTAGCCCTAATCTGAGCCCTAACCCTAGCTTTAACACTAACCCTAACCCTACACTAGTCCTAATCATAACCATAACCCTGGCCCTAAACTGATCGCTAACTCTATCCATTACCATAACCATAACCCTAACCCTAATGCTAATTTGAGCCCTAACTTTAAACCTTAACCTGTCCCAAACCCTAACTAAGAACTTGACCCTAATAATACTCCTAGCTCTAAACCTGATGATAACCCTAATCCTAACCCATACACTAGAAGTACCCCTAACCCTAAGCCTAAAACTTTTTTAACCATAATTCTGTACCCGAAATTAGCCGTAGCACTAAGCCTAACCCTAACCCTAAAAAAATAAAACTCTAGCCCTCATCCTAGCCATAAACCTAGCCTTAATCATAACCCTAACCCTAACCACAGCCCTAACCCTAATTCTAACACTCACCCTAATCTAAACGTAGCTATAAAGGCATTCCTTACCCTAAACTTAACCCTAACTCTAAACCTAAGCTCTGAACTCTAACTCTAAACTCTAAACTTAACCCTAACCCTAACCCTAGGCTTAAACTAAACACTAAATGTAGCTCTAATCTTAGCTCAAATTTATCCCTATCTCTAACCCTAACCCTAACCCTAGCCCTAAGACTAACTCTCGCCCTAGCCCTATCCCTATTTCTAACCCTATCCCTTACCATAACCCTAACCCTAGACATAACCCTTGTCCTATCCTTAGTTCTAGCCCTAACCCTAGATCTAACCCTAATTGCAAATTTAACCCTAAACCTAAGCCTAAACCTAACACTAACTCTAGCCCTAACCCTAACCCTAGGACTAAAACAAAACTGAGCATTAGACCTAACCCTAAACCTTAACTTAATCCAAACCCTAACACTGCAACTAGAACAAACCCTAGCCCTAATTCGAGTCCTAACCTTAACCTTAAAAGGAACCCTGACCCTGACTGATATTCTAACAGTCACCCTAGCCCTCAACACTGCCCTCACCTTAAACTGAGCCCTAACAGTAATCCTCTCCCTAATTCGAGTCCTAACTCTAACCATAAAACTAAGTCTAACATGACTCCTATTCAAACAAGAACTCTAGCTATAAATATCACCCTAACCTTAAACCTAACCCTAAAACTAAACCTAATCCTACCATAACACTAAAACTAACCCTAATGGTAACCCTAGTTCTTACATTACCCCATTGCCCTAAACCTATCTGTAACCTTAACACAAAAAACCTAGGCCTAATATGAGCCTTAAACCTAGATTTAACCTTAACTCTAACCATAACCATAGCCTTAACCCTAGCTATAAACCAATCCCTTACCCTAAGCAAAATCCTAAACCTAAGGTAACCCTAGACCTATCCCTAATCCTTAGGCTAACTGTGAACGTCTAGAGTGTTTGGGTCCCTGGGTAAGGGTCACGAAATAACCAGGACACAGGGGATGCAGAGCAAAGGCAGCAATTACAACTGCATGCTGAGGTTTATTTGCAAGTTCCTTTTATCTACTTCTTCTAACAAAGCAAGCAATTCTTCAATATCACGTTACCCACATTGCCCAAATACCATGCCTCAGCGGATACACAGAGCAAAATTCAGATTGTTCCTGTTTATTTGATAAGTACCCTCTTAAAGTTCTTTGTAGACATTATCTATTCCCCTGAGGATGCATTTGTTTCTTTAGAATGTACTGTTCCCAGGATAAGTATGCATGAAGCTTCTTCCTCTTGGCCAAACCATGCAGAACTTGTGACTTGCGATAAGGGGAAGAGAACTTTTCCTCCTCCTAACTGAGGTTTGCCTCAGCTAACCTAAATCACAACCACAGTTATTGCAAAATGTCAGGCCTGAGGGAGCTAAACTCTGCACACTCAAACCCCAACAATTCCTTCCTTTTTCTTTTGTTTTTCTAAAACAGTTTTCCACAAAGTTAATATAGCATTTTGAGATGGTCTTATGCACATGCAATATATAATTACAAACAGGATAATAACTAAGCATAACACTATTCCCACTCCTCCAGCCGTATGGATAAGACTTTGAGCAATTCCTTTGGGATCTAATCCCTCTAACTGTTTTAAAAACAATTCAGCTATTTGTGCAGCATCATCATGTTGAAATCCTTTTACAAAAATTTCAAATATATCTTTTTGCAGTGGAGCACAACAGACACTAGTATGGCAATATGTAAATCAATGGATGTGTAACTGATGTGATTCTGCAATCTGTGTATGGGGTGAAGGTGGGAGTTCATAACCCACTTGAATCAAAGTGTGGAATATGATATGTCAAGAAATTTGTAATATTTTGAACAACCCACAATAAAAAATTTAAAATAAAAAAAAACTGAAAAAAAGAATAAATCATTAATTGAGCTGTTTCATTACCATCAAGATAATTTTGTATTGTACTCCATTCGTGTAAGCTTTGATTATATCGTACATTAGTTATACAGAAAGAAGTTGAATTCCAGTCACATTTTAATCTAATTTCCTGTTCTAAGGTGAGTATCTTTTTTCCTAACTAATCTTTTTTAACCTAACTGTCTGTTTTAAAATATCTATTTGAGTCTGAAGTCTAGAATCAATTTGAGCCTGGGATAGCCATAACTCATGCAAATCTGTATGCCATTCCTCAACAAAATGTTTTGTTTGTAAAGAAGTATGTAAAGCTATCCCTGAAACTGTAGCAACTGTAATCACTGCAATAAGACTTAGAATTATAGCAACAACAACTCCCACAAACCATTTAGTACGTTTTAACAATCGTCTAAAAAATTCCAGAACCAAAGTATTTACAGGATCTTGGGACCATGTTCTTTGTAAATTTACAGGAAGCCAAATGTGAGAGTGCTGTTGTAACAGCACAATGGAATAACCAGAAGGAATAGAAACAGATGTATTAATACAGGTATACAATTTACAGTTAAAGTATAAAATTCCCTCATCAAAAGTAACATTTCCAATTAAGAACAGGTATGGCATGGGCACACATGTGGTTATATTATATTCTTTAAATACAGTAAAATTATAAGAAGCAGCAAATTGACTAGTCCCAGAGAAAGAGCCATTAGACAAAATTACAGGTTTAGTTGCAGCAGCAATTTTCCATAAATGTGTTTGTAAATGATGAGGGTACTGCACTGAAGCCAAGCATGGATCAGCAATTCCACCATCACCCCAGGCCATCAATTTGTCATTCCGAATGGTTTCATTCCATCTCTCTTTCGGCGGGATTCTGTATGTAGAAGATAAATCACAAGCAGTAATATTCCATTCTGAACAATTTTTTAAGAACATCCTGTAAGGACCCCACATAATAATATTCTGAAATATCTTCCCAAATTTGCCTAAACATTCCTGCCATATGAAAGGGGAGTATCTCAAGTCCTGATAAGTAAAATCTGGGCACTCGGGGAACATTGGGTATTTTTGTTCAGTTATATTATCCCAGGTCATATTGACGGACCATGCAGACAACCGTTGTAAACGGGTTGGAGAACCATTACTCCAATTTCCAACTAGTATCCAATGTTGCCAATCTAATTGTAAGCAAGGAGGAACGCCCAAGCATATAGGTTTACTGTTATTATTCTTATAAGTGAAATTAAATGGTGTTCCATCATAAATATTCATATATGTTAAATTGTTCCAAGGGGGAGATAAAAGAGCAGGAGAAGTATATAAGGTAATATCCATGTCACCCCAAGTAACAGGTTCCAGCAAAGGTGGATTGGGAATATAGGCCCAATAGTGAGTATTATTATTTTGTACCTCAGAAGCAGAAGACACTGTCAATAATGCACACATGGCCAGAAATGAATTTTCTGGGGTGCAACTCTTCCCTGTTCGTTGCAGCACCTTTTGCCCTTCCCCACTCAGCTTTTTAATTTGACCCCACGTAGGTAAGGGAGAGAAATTACGATGTCGACGATGTCGGGCCCCAAGATGAAGATGCGCCATTGCTGCCACTGGAACATCAAGCTCAGGATCTTGATTCCTCGGCTGGGGTAATGTATAGGGTGCCCCCCTTGGTGCCGTTCTGATTGTGATGGGTCTGGATCCACAGCCCTGGGAGCCACTGCCAGTGTCCATTTTCTGTTGAAACATAAGCATAGCCCTTTCCTCTATAAAGTAAAATCCCTGGCTGCCATTCAGCATCTGCGGCAATTTTTATCCAAATTGGTTCATGAACTGTTTCTAAGGTTTTTTGCTCAAAATGTCGTTCTGCTCTTGTCAATATTTCTCCTTGTGGAAGATTAAGAAAATTTAAAATAAATAAGGCTTGATGTAACAATGTTTTAGGTTGATTTTGTAAAGGTCTAAACAAGTGCATATTTAAATCTGTCATTTTCCTCCTTTTTAATTTTTTTTAATTTGTGTTTTAAGTGGAGCACGAACATGTTCTACTAAAGCTTGTCCTTGTGGATTATATTCTATTCCGGTTAGATGAACAATATCATATAATTTGCAAAAATCTTTAAAATTTTTACTAGTATAAGCCGGACCATTATCAGTTTTAATCATAGTGGGAATTCCCATAATAATAAATATTTCCTCTAAGTGTTGAATAACATGGAGGGTGGTTTCTCCAATTTGAGAGGTAGCCCACAAAAATTTAGAGTATATGTCAATAGTAACATGAACACAAGAATAACGTCCAAACAAGGGAACATGTGTAACATCCATTTGCCATAATTCATTAGGTTGAATCCCTCTAGGATTTACTCCGGAAGGTACAATCCTAAGATGTAAAGGTCGACAAACTGGGCAATTTTTAATAATTTGTTTTGCTTGTTTATATGGAATCTTATATTTAATGTGTAAATGTCCGGCATTAGAATGAAACAGATTATGTTCTTCTTGAGGAGTTTTGAACATCACTAATTTGTCTACCTGAGCATTACCATATGTCAAAAATCCTGGTAATTTAGAGTGTGATCTAATATGATCTATAAATATGCGAGCATTACGAGCTTGTAAAAGTTTTTGTAAAGTAGGAAAAAGATTTTATAGAGCAGGTTTATTAGAATAGGCTACTGCAGTAAATATATTTTTAACTACTCCCATCGTGTATGCAGAGTCAGTAAGAATGTTAATGTCTTGATTAACAAAATCATTTAAAACTTGAATGACTGCAAATAATTCATTTTGTTGGACAGATTGATAGTTTGTTATTTGAACCCAATATTGGTTCTCTGTCCAATAAGCACTTTTAGTTTTTGATCCATCAGTAAACACAGTAACAACATTGTCTAAAGGATATTCACTAATAATATTATTAATTACAAATCATTGACGTTTTAGCATGTCCCATAATTTGCCCTTGGGGAAAAATGACAAGAAAAACACCTATCATGAATGCTCCAAATATATTCACTGATGGGTCTAATAATGGTACAGCAGCAGTAGTTACCCCAGATCGAACTTTTACATTTTTAGTACCCAAACAATCAGCTCAAAAGGTAGAGCTTAATGCAGTTTTACAAGCTTTTTTGATGTTTAAAGATTCTGTATTTAATTTATTTTCTGATAGTCAGTATGTAGTTAATGCTATAGTATCTCTTTAAGATGCTGGTAGGATTTCCTCTTCCTCTACTGTTTTCTCTTTGTTTTCCACTATTCAAAGTCTAATCTGGGACAGAAAAGATCCATTCTTCATAGGACATATTAGGGCACATACAGGATTGCCTGGAGCCCTTAGTTTAGGCAATGATTTAGCAGATAAAACTACACATGACATACATATTTTCTCTACATTTGAAGAAGCTACAAATTTTCATAAAAGGTTTCATGTTAATGCTAATACTTTACAAAAGCATTTTAAAATAACTAAGGAACAAGCCAGACATATAATAAAACAATGTCAAAATTGTGTGACATTTTTACCACAAGTTAATCTTGGAGTCAATCCTAGAGGACTGATACCTAACCATATTTGGCAGATGGACATCACACAATTGCCAGAATTTGGAAAATTAAAATATTTGCACATTACAGTCGATACATCTTCTGGATTTTGGATGGGCTCCCTTCATGCCGGAGAAAAAACTAAAGATGTTATAGCTCATTGCTTACAAAATTTTGCCACTGTGGGCGTTCCTAAACAGTTAAAAACCGAGAGCTGCCCCCTCCCCCTGCGCCGGCAAGGTAGAGGGAACTGTGACCACCCACAGAGCAGGCCCAGCGGCCTGCTGAGGGGCAGAGCCGCCCCCCACCCCCCGTGCCTGCCAGGTAGGCGGAACTGTGACCACCAACAGAAAAGGCCCAGTGGCCCGTGGCGGGACAGAGCTTCCAATCACTCCTGCAAGGTAGGCGGGCCTGCAACCCACCAGAAGAAGAGGAGCAGCGGCCTGCTGAGAGGCAGAGCCGCCCCCTCCCCCTGTGCCGGCAAGGTAGAGGGAATTCTGACCACCCACAGAGCAGGCCCAGTGGCCTGCTGAGGGGCAGAGTCACCCCCCACCCCCCACGCCTGCCAGGTAGGTGGAACTGTGACCACTGACAGAAAAGGCCCAGTTTCCCGCGGGGGGACAGAGCTTCCAATCACTCCTGCAAGGTAGGCGGGCCTGCAACCCACCGGCAGAAGAGGAGCAGCGGCCTGCTGAGAGGCAGACCCGACCCCTCCCACCGCACCTGCAAGGTAGACGGAAGTGTGACCACCATCAGAACAGGCCAGACCTGCAACTGACAGACTGAACAGGCCCAGTGGCATGAAGAAGGGTAGAGCCGCCCCGCCCCCAACGCCTGCAAGGTACGCAGACCTGCGACCCACTGGCAGAACAGCCCCAGAGGCCTGCAGAGGGGCAGTGCCTCTGCCTGCACCTGCAAAGTAGGCAGAACTTCGACCACTGACAGAACAAGCCTAGCGGCCCACAGAGAGACAGAGCCGCCGCCCGCGCCTGCAAGGTAGGCGGACCTGCTACCGACCGGCAGAGCAGGCCCAGTGGCCTGCCAGTGTGGTAGGCACATTGCCCCAATTGGAGGAGGGGCAGAGCCACCACCCGTGCCTGCGAGGGAGACTTTGCAACTATACAAGACCAATATAAATATATAGGGGGAAAATTCAATAGCACAACAATTTCACCAAGTAGAACGGAACGCGAACAGTATGAAGAGACAAGGAAAGAAAGGACCACAAGCAATGCAGGTCAACTCAACGTTAGAAGATGTAATAGCTGCAGCAGATGGAATGTCAGATAAACAATTCAGGATATACATGCTTCAGATGATCTGGAGTCTCAAGGAAGACATCAGACAGCAAAATCAGACAATGAAAGATCACTTCAACAATGAATTACATAAACAAATCCAAGAAGCAAAAGATCAATTATACAGGGAGATAGAGGTTATAAAAAACAAACAAACAGAAATCCTAGAAATGCAGGAAGCAATAAACCAACTTAAAAACTCAATTGAGAATACTACCAGCAGAGTAGAACACTTAGAAGATAGAACATCAGACAATGAAGATAAAGTATTTCAACTTGAAAATAACATAGACAGCTCAGCAAGACTGTTAAGAAACCATGAGCAGAACATCCAAGAAATATGGGATAACATAAAGAGACCAAACTTAAGAGTCATTGGGATACAGGAAGGGACAGAGTTTCAAACCAAAGGAATGAGCAATCTTTTCAATGAAATAATACGAGAAAACTTCCCAGACTTGAAGAATGAGACAGAATCCCAAATCCTAGAAGCCTACAGGACGCTGAATGTGCAAAATTATAGGAGACCCACACCTAGACACATTATAATGAAGATGCCCAACATACAGAATAAGGAGAGAATTTTAAAAGCTACAAGAGAAAGGAAGCAGATCACATTTAGGGGTAAGCCAATCAGGATAACAGCTGATCTTTCAACACAGACTCTGAAAGCTAGAAGATCCTGGAATAACATATTTCAAACACTGAAAGAAAATGGGTTCCAACCAAGAATTGTGTTTCCAGCGAAATTAAGCTTCAGGATGGAAGATGAAATTAAAACCTTCCACGATAAACAAAAGTTAAAAGAATTTGCAGCTAGAAAACCATCTCTTCAAAACATCCTTGGCAAAACATTACAGGAAGAGGAAATGGAAAATAACAATGAAAACCAACAGTGGGAGGTAGGACAGTAAAGGGGGGAAAAATAATCAAAGAGGAAAACAAACCATGTTTAGTAACATAAATAAACAAATATGGCTGGAAGAACAACCCATATCTCAATAATAACCCTAAATGTTAATGGCTTAAACTCACCAATCAAGAGACACAGGCTAGTAGAATGGATCACAAAACAAGACCCAACAATATGCTGCCTACAGGAGACGCATTTGATAGGAAAAGACATACATAGGCTGAAGGTGAAAGGTTGGGAAAAATCATATCACTCATATGGACTTCGGAAACAAGCAGGAGTGTCCATACTCATATCAAATAAAATAGATTTCAAGCCAAAGTTAATCAAAAGGGATAAAGAGGGACACTACATACTGCTTAAGGGAACCATACACCAACAAGACTTAACAATCATAAATATATATGCCCCAAACAATGGTGCAGCTATGTTCATCAAACAAACTCTTCTCAACTTCAAGAGTCTAATAGACCACCATACAATAATCATGGGAGACTTCAACACACCTCTCTCGCCACTGGACAGATCTTCCAAACAAAAGTTGAATAAGGAAACTATAGAACTCAATAACACAATTAATAACCTAGACTTAATTGACATATATAGAATATACCACCCAACATCAAGCAGTTACAATTTTTTCTCAGCTGCACATGGATCCTTCTCAAAAATAGATCATATATTATGTCACAGGGAAACTCTTAGACAATACAAAGGAGTAGAGATAATACCATGCATCCTATCTGATCATAATGGAATGGAACTGGAAATCAATGATAAAAGAATGAAGGAAAAAGAATACATCACTTGGAGAATGAACAATAGGTTACTGAATGATCAATGGGTTATAGAAGACATCAAGGAAGAAATTAAAAAATTCTTAGAGATAAATGAAAACACAGATACAACATATCGGAATCTATGGGACACATTGAAAGCAGTTCTAAGAGGAAAATTCATTGCATGGAGTTCATTCCTTAAAAAAAGAAAAAAACAACCAATAAATGATCTCATACTTCATCTCAAACTCCTAGGAAAAGAAGAGCAAAACAACAGCAAAAGAAGTAGAAGGCAAGAAATAATTAAAATCAGAGCTGAAATTAATGAAATCCAAACAAAAGAAACAATTGAAAAAATTGACAAAACTAAAAGTTGGTTCTTTGAAAAAAATAAACAAAATCGACAGACCCTTAGCCATGCTAGCGAATAGAAGAATAGAGAGAACTCAAATTACTAGCATACGGGATGAAAAAGGCAATATCACAACAGACACCTCAGATATACAGAAGATAATCAAAAATTATTTTGAATCCTTATACTCCAATAAATTAGAAGATAGTGAAGGCATCGATAAATTTCTTAAGTCATATGATCTGCCCAGATTGAGTCAGGAGGACATAGACAACCTAAACAGACCAATATCAATTGAGGAAATAGAAGAAACCATCAAAAGACTACCAACTAAGAAAAGCCCAGGACTGACTGGGTATACAGCAGAGTTTTACAAAACCTTTAAAGAGGAACTAATACCAATACTTTTCAAGCTACTTCAGGAAATAGAAAAAGAGGGAGAACTTCCAAATTCATTCTACGAGGCCAACATCACCCTGATACCTAAACCAGACAAAGACACTTCAAAGAATGAAAACTACAGACCAATATCTCTAATGAACCTAGATGCAAAAATCCTCAATAAAATTCTGGTGAATCGGATACAAAAACATATCAAAAAAATTGTGCACCATGATCAAGTAGGATTCATCCCTGGGATGCAAGGCTGGTTCAATATACGGAAATCAATAAGTGTTATTCACCACATCAATAGACTTAAAAATAAGAACCATATGATCATCTCGATAGATGTGGACAAAGCATTCGACAAAGTACAGCATCCCTTTATGTTCAAAACTCTAGAAAAAATAGGGATAACAGGAACATACCTCAATATTGTAAAAGCAATCTATGCTAAGCCTCAGGCTAGCATCATTCTGAATGGAGAAAAACTGAAGGCATTCCCTCTAAAATCTGGAACAAGACAGGGATGCCCTCTCTCTCCACTTCTGTTCAACATAGTTCTCGAAACACTGGCCAGAGCAATTAGACAGATGAAAGAAATTAAAGGCATCAAAATAGGAAAAGAAGAACTTAAATTATCAGTATTTGCAGAAGACATCATTCTATACCTAGCACACCCAAAAGGGTCTACAAAAAAATTTATTAGAGCTAATAAATGAATTCAGCAAAGTGGCAGGATATAAAATCAACACGCATAAATCAAAGGCATTCCTGTATATCAGCGACAAATCCTCTGAAATGGAAATGAGGAAAACCACTCCATTCACAATATCTTCAAAAAAAATAAAATACTTGGGAATCAACCTAACAAAAGAGGTGAAAGACTTATACAATGAAAACTACAGAACCCTAAAGAGAGAAATAGAAGAAGATCTGAGAAGATGGAAAAATATACCCTGTTCATGGATAGGCAGAACTAACATCATCAAAATGGCGATATTACCAAAAGTTCTCTATAGGTTTAATGCAATGCCAATCAAAATCCCAACGGCATTTCTTGTAGAAATAGAGAAAGCAATCATGAAATTCATATGGAAAAATAAAAGACCCAGAATAGCAAAAACAATGCTAAGCAGGAAGTGTGAATCAGGCGGTATAGCGATACCAGACTTCAAACTATACTACAGAGCAATAGTAACAAAAACAGCATGGTACTGGTACCAAAACAGGCGGGTGGACCAATGGTACAGAATAGAGGACACAGAAACCAATCCACAAAACTACAACTACCTTATATTTGATAAAGGGGCTAAAAGCATGCAATGGAGGAAGGATAGCATCTTCAACAAATGGTGCTGGGAAAACTGGAAATCCATATGCAACAAAATGAAACTGAATCCCTTTCTCTCGCCATGCACAAAAGTGAATTCAAAATGGATCAAGGAGCTTGATATCAAATCAGAGACATACCGTCTGATAGAAGAAAAAGTTGGCTACGATCTACATACTGTGGGGTCGGGCTCCAAATTCCTCAATAGGACACCCATAGCACAAAAGTTAATAACTAGAATCAACAAATGGGACTTACTCAAACTAAAAAGTTTTTTCTCCTCAAAAGAAACAATAAGAGAGGTAAATAGAGAGCCTACACCCTGGGAACAAATCTTTACTCCTCACACTTCAGATAGAGCCCTAATATCCAGAGTATACAAAGAACTCAAAAAATTAGACAATAAGAGAACAAACAACCCAATCAACAAATGGGCCAAGGACCTGAACAGACACTTCTCAGAGGAGGACATACAATCAATCAACAAGTACATGAAAAAATGCTCACCATCTCTAGCAGTCAGAGAAATGCAAATCAAAACCACCCTAAGATACCATCTCACTCCAGTTAGATTGGCAGCCATTATGAAGTCAAACAACAACAAGTGCTGGCGAGGATGTGGGGAAAAGGGTACACTTGTACATTGCTGGTGGGACTGCAAATTGGTGCAGCCAATTTGGAAAGCAGTATGGAGATTTCTTGGAAAGCTGGGAATGGAGCCACCATTTGACCCAGCTATTCCCCTTCTCGGTCTATTCCCTAAAGACCTAAAGAGAGCATGCTACAGGGACACTGCTACATCGATGTTCATAGCAGCACAATTCACAATAGCAAGACTGTGGAACCAACCTAGATGCCCTTCAATAGATGAATGGATAAAAAAATGTGGCATTTATACACAATGGAGTATTACTCTGCATTAAAAAATGACAAAATCATAGAATTTACAGGGAAATGGATGGCATTAGAGCAGATTATGCTAAGTGAAGCTAGCCAATCCCTAAAAAACAAATGCCAAATGTCTTCTTTGATATAAGGAGAGTAACTAAGAACAGAGTAGGGTCAAAGAGCATGAGAAGAAGATTAACATTAAACAGGGATGAGAGGTGGGAGGGAAAGGGAGAGAGAAGGGAAATTGCATGGAAATGGAAGGAGACCCTCAGAGTTATACAAAAGTACATACAAGAGGAAGTGAGGGGAAAGGGAAAAATAATACAAGGGGGACAAATGAATGCCAGTAGAGGGGGCAGAGAGAGAAGAGGGGAGGGGAGGGGAGGGGAGGGGGGATAGTAGAGGATAGGAAAGGCAACAGAACACAACAGACACTAGTATGGCAATATGTAAATCAATGGATGTGTAACTGATGTAATTCTGCAATCTGTATATGGGGTAAAAATGGGAGCTCATAACCCACTTGAATCAAAATGTGAAATATGATATATCAAGAACTATGTAATGTTTTGAACAGCCAACAATAAAAAATTAAAAAAAAATAAAAAAATAAACAGTTAAAAACCGATAATGGTCCTGGCTATACCTCTACCTCTTTTAAACAATTTTGCTCATCATTTGGTATTACTCATATAACAGGAATCCCATACAATATGCAGGGACAAGGCATAGTTGAAAGAGCTCATCAAACTATTAAAACGTACTTATTAAAGCAAAAAGAGGGAATTGGAAGGGGGTATATATCCCCCAAAGATAAACTTAAAATAACGCTTTTTACTCTAAACTTTTTAAATTTGGATTCATCAGGACTTAGTGCTGCGGAAAGGCACATGTATCCAAAAAATGTACATAAGCCTAAAGTACTTTGGAAAGATATTCTAACAGGACAATGGAAAGGTCCTGACCCAGTGATTGTCTGAAGTCGGGGGTCTGTTTGTGTTTTTCCACAGGGAGAACAGCAGCCGATTTGGATTCCAGAGAGATTAACTAAAACAATTTCTACAGATCGAAAAGAAGATGATTTGACTCAAATCCATAACAGCTGATATCCAGAACTCCAGCTTGGCCATTCTTACATCTGCGACAGTGATTAACCAGGATGCTTTTTTCAATAGCTATTTTATTATTGCATTTTTCTACATCATAAGGTTCTATTTTTATTTTTTGAGCTCATACAAACCTAGGTTAATGTTTTTCTGATCAGTTTTATTTTTTGACTGTGGAGTTTTTAAACATTGCAATGGAGATTTCACCTAGGTAAAGCTACAAGGCCTTTACTATTTTCTTATGTGTTGTACGTTTGTGTACACTCTTGTGTTTTGTGTTGTATGTCTGTATGTGCGTATGTCCATATTTCTTATATGAGGAGCGCTCATGAAAAAATGGATCCGAATTATTATTATTATTTTTTTTATTCACGTGATTTAAATGGTTTAATTTAAATTAGGTAAACAGCTGTTAAGGATTGTTTTTAAAGGTGGTTAACAGATCTGTTTGTTTACTAATTTAAATTAGGTAAACAGCTGTTAAGGATTGTTTTTAAAGTAGGTTAACAGATCTGTTTGTTTACTTTCACCTTTCCTTTTCATTATATTCAATAATTCTTTTCAGGATGATGTCTCTTTAGCATCATTGCCAGAATTCCTATCTTCATCCCAGTGCCGGTGAAGACAGCTTCTATGATAGCTATCACAGTAAGCTGTATAAACTGATGCATCAATGAATATAACTCAACAAGTAATGCTCAATCAAGGAGTCAACTTACTTTGGGAGGAAACGGATTTTGGGAGGAAATGGACATATTGATAGATTCCTCCACTTTGAACTGCTTGCAAAACTTGCCTGAACTATGTAACTATCGTTTGGTGCAGCGAATTGTGGTAATGCTGGCATATCTTTGCTGATGGTGTCACCAGTGATGCAATTTTTATTTCCTTGCCAGCGCACCCCATGTTAATTGTGGTAGTGCTGACATATCTTTGCTGATGGTGTCACTAGTGATGCAATTTTTCCCAAGGAGCCGTCAATTGTCTTGGTGTCGTGGCATTTCTGTATCCTCCTCCATTCTGCTAGTGATGGTCTAAAATTTGGGGGCCAATGGCTATATGCTGGACCGGTAGTCAGTGACGGGTATGATCCAATTGCAGTGGTATCAACCTAAGACAGGAGGCTGACACCTAAAGGTCAGTTTTCCAATGACGGGTAAGAACCATATGTTGAATTGGACAACCTACCAGGCACGGTCCTTAAGCCACATTAACCTCACTCCCCCACTGGCACCAAGGCCAAATTTGGGGGCCAACAGAGGTGAGGCAAAGAACCTCACCCCCCCACTAGTGCATAGACCTATCCACAAGTATGGCTGTATGCTGGACCGGTAGTCAGTGACGGGTATGATTCAATTGCAGTGGTATCAACCTAAGACAGGAGGCTGATGCCTAAAGGTCAGTTTTCCGATGACGGGTAAGAACCATATGTTGAATTGGACAACCTACCAGGCACAGTCTTTAAGCCACATTGCTTGTTGTTTAATTAATCAGAAGGGGGGAGATGCTGGGAGCCATTAGCCAAGTAGGTATGACAATTTCCTTGCCAGTGTACCCCATGTTGCTGACATTTTGCAGTGACATTGAATGTAGGTGACCTTGCTCAAGGACCAGGGCGGATTAGGGTGTTCCCGGTTTAAGATAATCGGGTTTAGGGCGTTCCCAGTTTAGGTTCCAGGTTTAAGGTTTAAGATTATTCCTGCTGGGAATAGAGCGTATCCTGCTGCCTGAGTTCCCCTTGAGTTCTCACGGGATTCAGACAGTATTTTTTGGGAGACAGAAGCCCAGTGGATGTGGATTTGGGCAGAGAACGTGGATTTCCCCAGAACGTGATTGTAGACGGCTGGTGTGAGATCGGGAATAAAGAGTTGCTGTTTGAATCTACAAGCTGTGTGGTGGCTCATAATTGTGTGCCCAGCCAGACTGCAGCATTTGTGCTCAGCCAGACTGCGGCAGAAAACAGTAGAGGAATGGGAAATCCTACCAGCATATTCAAGGGATATTATAGCATTAACTATATATTGACTGTCAGAAACTAAATTAAATACAGAATCTTTAAACATCACAAAAGCTTGTAATACTGCATTAAGCTCTACCTTTTGAGCTGATTGTTTCAGTAGTAAAAATGTAAAAGCTTGAGCAGAGGTAACTACTGCTGCTGTACCATTATATGACCCATCAGTAAATATTATTGGAGCATTCATGATAGGTGTTTTTCTTGTCATTTTTGGAAAAAATACAGGATGTGAGGACCAAAAAGACAACAAAGGATTAGGTGGTAAGTGGTTTTCAAATGAACAAATAGATTTTCACATGATTATTGCCCAAGTATTTAACTCATTAGCTACCACATCAATTTGATCCATAGTATATGGAGTAATAATTTTATTAGGAGAAATTCCAAACACTCCCTTTGCTGTTTTTATTCCTTTGAGTATTAATTGCCCCACAGCCTCAGGATACCTAGTAAGAATAGTGTTAGGAGAATAAGATAAATGTATCCATAATAAAGGACCTTCTTGCCAAAGTACTCCTGTAGGAATATTTTCGTGGGTAATACAATAAATAACAGAGGCAAACTTATATCAATTCTATCCAGATGCATATTTTTCATATATGTTTCAATGAGTTTTAATGTTTTTCTCACTTCAGGTGTTAACATGCGGGGTAAATTTGGATCCGATAGACCTTTTAAGATATCAAATAAAGGTCCCAACTTTCCTCTTGGTATGCCTAGATAAGGCCTTATCCAATTTATGTCTCTGAACAGTTTTTAAAAGTCATTAAGTGTTTTAAGTTGATCTACTCGTATTTGAATTTTTGGTGGGTGGACCATGGTCGAGGATAATAGAACTCCTAAATAATTAATTGGAAAATATAATTGTATTTCATCTATTGCTATCTCTAGATTATAATTTTTAATAAGTTTGTAAATGTAGCATAGCATTCTAGCAAAGTATTTTTATCTTTGTGTGCTAATAATACATCGTCCATAAAATGAAATACTTGTAGTTCAGGATTTTGATTTCTAAGTGGCTGGATTGCTTTGTCAACATAAACTTGACACATAGTAGGACTATTAGCCATCCCTTTAGGGAGTACTTTCCATTCATATCTCTGATCAGGACCTTCATGTTTCAGCAAAGGGACACTAAATGCAAAACGTGGACTATCCTCTGGATGAATTGTAATGGATTAAAAACAATCTTTAATATCTATAGCTAAAACATACCAGGTTTTTGGCAAAGCAGAAAATTGAGGAATCCCCAATTGAACAGACCCATGATAACCATTCCTTTATTAATAGCTCTTAAATCTTGTAATAGTCTCCATTTGCCAGATTTCTTTTTACTAACAAAAATGGGAGTATTATGGGGAGATACAGAAGGTTGTATGTGTCCTTCTGCTAATTGTTGATTGACTAGGTCATGGGCTGCTTGTATGTTTTCTTTTGTCAGGGGCCACTGAGGAACCCCTACTGGCCTTTCTGATTTCCAAGTAATTTTTATTGTCTCAGTGACCCCTCCCAAAAACCCAGTCCATGTCTATCTGTTTTTTGATCTATTTGTATTGGTGCCACTGCACCTTGTCCTTGTTCTCATAATCCTTTTCCTTTCTTAACACCTTCTCCAGCCATAATAGTGGGCACATTTGGATTCATATGTGGAATGTTATTTGTTAATGTTAATCCCAATTGACCTAGAACATCTCATCCCCATAAATTTATAGGAAGATGATCCAATACATATGGCTGTATAGTTCCTTCACATCGTTCATTATCCTTCCATTTTAATACCATTGCACTACTATGGGGATTAGTTGCCACTCCTAGGCCTCAAAGCATTTGAGTGGCTTGTTGTAAAGGCCAATCTTTTGGCAATTCTTGACGAGAGATGATGCTAAGATCTGCTCCTGTGTCTAGCAGTCCATTGAAATCATGTCCTTGAATGGTTAACTTTAACATAGGGCAAGAATTTAAATTTAAAGAAAGCATAGCCCAATCTATACCTGTGGTGCCAAATACTTTGGGACCTCTTTCTACAGTATGACTAGAAAATGTGTCATGTAAATTGGGTAGTATTAATAACTGTGCAATCCTTTCTCCTAGTGAAATTACTGAGAGACCCCTTGGAGAACTAGCAATAATTTTTATCTCAGCTTCAAAATCAGGATCAATTACCTCAGGACTTATCATAAGTCCTTTTAGAGTAGAAGAACTGCATCCTAATAACAAGCCTACTGTTCCTGGGGGAAGAGGTCCTTTTAGCCCTGGGGGAATGATTCAAACTCCCATCTCTGGAGTTAGTACTGCTCTGGCGGAGGTGAAGATGTCCAATCCTGCACTCCCTCTGTTTTTTCTGATAAGAGAGTTAATGGATAATGTGTCCTGGGTGCTACCCTGACGGTGTTGCTGGGTTCCTTCAATGCCCCATATATTTGTAGTTGTGGGCCCTGGGGCATCAGGCCCCTCTGTCCATTTTTTGGCAATGGAGTACCCTCTACAACAGTCTGAGAATGGCATTCACTAGCCCAATGTTTTCCTCTACAACATCGTGAGGAAACACCTGGTATTTTTTTCTTTTTTGATCATCACCAGTTTTGCTACTTGTTTTAAACACTCATCCTATGGGGCAACTCCTTTTAAAATTTCCTGATTGACCACAATTATACATGTTTTTGGCCTGACACCTAAAGCCTGTTGTACTCCTTGGGTTACTGCAGCTGTCAAGACTTGCCCCTGTACCACTGGTTCATTAATATCTCTACTCAATTTAATGTATGCATTTAAGTCTTTATATTTCCAAGTTCTAATAGCCTCCCTACAGAAACTATTGGCTTGTTCATAAGCTAGTTTTTTTTTTTAAATGGCATTGCTTGTTCTACAACCCCAAAGACTCTGCTTGCTGTTTGCATAAGCCTATCCACAAACTCAGCATAAGGTTCATTAGCTCCTTGTATTACCTTAGATAATTGACCTTGTAAATCTCCATGACCTTGTAAAGTCTTCCATGCCTTAACCGCAGATGAAGGGATTTGTAAGTATATGGCAGGATCATATCCAGCTTGTTGCTGCTGACCCTCATAAGGTCCCTCTCCTAGCAACATATATAGATTTCTCTGTGGATACCAGGCTGCTGCATTTTGCTTGGCCATCTCCACACACAATTCCTGATTAGTAGCTTTCCATAACAGATATTGTCCTCCATTTAGCACAGCTTTGCACATGCTAGCCCAATCTGATGGTGTCAAGTTTAAAATTGCAATGGATTCAACCACGCTTAGAGTTAAATGGGCTTGAGGACCATAGGCTGCTACAGCTTCTTTAAATGCTTTACAGTTTTAAAATCCAAAGCCTGGTGATATGGCTAACCCTAACACTAACCTTAACCTTAACCCTAAAACTAACTCTAAACCTAACCTTAACCCTAAAACTAATACAAACACTAAACATAAATCTAATCATAAGCCAAACCCTATTCCTAACCCTAAACCTATCCATAACACTCACCCTAACCCTAACCCTAACAGAAACCCTAAAACTAACCTAATCCTCAACCTAACAATAACCATAAACCTAACACTTAACCTAACCCTAACTCTAACCCTAGCCATAACACTATCAGTAACCCTAAACCTAACGCTAACCCTAACAGTAACCCTATCCATAAACCTTACCCTAACACTAAACCAAACCCTAGACCTAATCCTAATCCTAAACCTAACACTAAGTGAAACCATAATCCTACACAGAACACTAACCCTAATGCTAAACCTAACCCTAATGCATATCCTAAACCTAACCTAACCCTAAACCTACCCTTAACCCTAAACCTAACACTAAACCTAACCCTAACTATTACACTAACCCTAACACTAAAACTAAACCTAAGCCAAACCCTAAATGTAACACAAAACCAAACCCTAAGCCTAACCATAAATCTAACACTAACCCTAATCTTAACCCTAACTTTAAGCCTAACACTTTTACTAAAAGTAATTCTAACCCTAAAACTAACCCTAATTCTAACACTAACCTAATGCTAACACTAAACATAATTCTAAGCCTAACACCAACCCTAACACTAAAACTAATCCTATCCCTAAACCTAAACCTAGTCCTTACCCTACTTCTAACCCTAACCCTAACCTAAACCTAAACCTAATAATATCCCTAACCTTAACACAACCCTAAACCAAAATCTAATCCTAACCTTAACCCTAACTGTAACCCTAAGACTAAACCTAACACTAACCCTAAACCTAACCCGAAACTCTAACCCTAATTCTAACTGCAATCCTGACTTGAAGTTTAAACCTAACCCTAACACTAACCCAAACACCAACACTAACCCTGTTTTTAAAATTAAGCCCAACCTTAATTCTAATCATAATTCTAACCCTAGCATTAAACCTAACCATAACACTAACCCTAAAACTTACACTTACCCTAACTGTAAGCCTAAACCTGAGCCGAATCCTCACCCTAAACATAAATATAACACTAACACTAACCATAACACTAACCCTGAATCTTACCCCAAACCTAAACCTAACACTAAACCTAACCCTAACCATAACCCTAACACTAACTCTAACACTAACTCTAACACTAACCCTAACACTAATGCTAACACTAACCCTAACCATAAACCTAATCCTCAACATAAGCCTAACCCTAACCCTGACACTAACCCTAACTCTAACCGAAACTCTAACCTAACACTAAACCTAAACCTAAACCTAATCCTAACACTAACATTAACACTAAACTTAACCCTAAACCTAACTCTAACCAAAATCCTAAACCTAACCCTAACCCTAAAACTCAGTTTAACCCTGACCCTAACACTAACCATTAACCTAACCCTAACACTAACCCTAACACTAACACTAAACCTAAACTAAACTTTAACTCTAAACCTAACAATAAACCTAACTTCAAATTAACCCTTACTCTATACTTAACTGTAACCTTAACAATAACCCTAATACTAAACAAAAATTTAACCCTAACCCTAACTTCAAACCTAATCTTAACACTAACCCTAACCAACACCCTAACTCTAAAACAAACCCTAACCCTAAACCTAATCATAAATCTAAATCTTAATCTAAACCAAACTCCACCCTAACCCTATCCATAAAACTAAACCTAGCCTTATCCATAAATATAACCCTAACTGTAAACATAACCCTTACCCT